CGTGGCAGCTGCAGCTCCTGCACTTCTGCCTCTTCCTGGGCATCTCCCTGGCTGCCCTCCTGGGCAACGGCCTCATCATCAGCGCCGTAGCCTGCAGCCACCACCTGCACAGCCCCATGATCTTCTTCCTGCTCAACCTGGCCCTGACTGACCTGGGCTCCATCTGCACCACTGTGCCCAAAGCCATGCACAATTCCCTCTGGGACACCAGGACCATCTCCTATGCAGGATGTGCTGCACAGTTATTTATTCTTGTCTTTTTCATCTCAGCAGAGTATTCCCTGCTGACCATCATGTGCTATGACCGCTACGTGTCCATCTGCAAACCCCTGCACTACGGGACCCTCCTGGGCAGCAGAGCTTGTGCCCACATGGCAGCAGCTGCCTGGGCCAGTGGCTTTCTCAGTGCTCTCATGCACACAGCCAATACATTTTCCCTGCCCCTGTGCCATGGCAATGTCCTGGGCCAGTTCTTCTGTGAGGTGCCCCAGATTCTCAAGTTCACCTGCTCCAAATCCTATCTCAGGGAAATTTGGCTTCTTCCTGTTGGTGTGTGTTTAACTTTTAGTTGTTTTGTGTTCATTGTTTTCTCCTATGTGCAGATCTTCAGGGCTGTGCTGAGGATCCCCTCTGAGCAGGGATGGCACAAAGCCTTTTCCACCTGCCTCCCTCACCTGGCTGTGGTCTCTCTGTTCCTCAGCACTGCAGCATTTGCCTACCTGAAGCCCCCCTCCATCTCCTCCCCATCCCTGGATCTGGCCCTGTCAGTTCTGTACTCGGTGCTGCCTCCAGCCCTGAACCCCCTCATCTACAGCCTGAGGAACCAGGAGCTCAAGGCTGCAGTGTGGACACTGATGACTGGATGGTTTCAGAAACATTAAACTGCAGGCCAATTTCTGCAAATCACTTGTAATAAAAGTCATCTTTGATTCTTCTTGTTGGTTTCATTTTGGATGTTTTCTTTGTTTTCATTTTTAGATCTTGTCCACAATAAAATATCATTGTTTGTGCCATTTCTCATTTTGTTTCTCTCTTCATCTTCCCTTTGGCCACAGACTGTGCCAATGAGTGGCTGCGCTCTTGGTAGCTTTAAAGGAACTAAAGGATCTCCTAGAAAAGTTTTCTCCTGAGATCTCCTTTTTGTTCCCCTCTCTGGAGCTGCAGCAGCAGTGTCTGTGTGCAGAGCTGGGGCAGATCAGTGCTGGCACAGCAGCTGTGCCCAGGAGCAGCAGCACTTGGTGTTGCCAGTGCTGCTCCCGTGCCACTGCCCCGCTGCCCTCCTGCCCTGGTGTTGCTGCAGGGCCTGAGTGCTCTCGGGGCCAGGCACAGCCCTGGGGGTGGCAGTGCCGGGGCTGCAGCAGGGACAGGCCATGGGCACTGCTGGGGCAGCGCTGACGCCTCAGGGCAGGGCCTGGGGGCTCCAGGCTCATTGTCCAGGCTCTCTCAAGAACACACCCAGGCCAATGCTCAGCACAGAAAACCCCCGTGAGCAGCCCCAGGGTGGCCGTGGGCAGGCTGGGGGCAAACAGCATGGCTGGGGCTCTGCAAGGTCCCTGGGGGAGACAGGAAGGAGCAGCAGAGCAGGGGCTGATCCATCCCCATTGCTCTGGACACCCCAGCACAGCATCCCAGAGAATCCTCATGGAGCTGCCAACAACATCCCCCCTGTGCAGCCCTGGCCTCTCCCCCAGCTCAGAGAGGTGCCGCATCCTTGCAGGCACAGACACAGCAGCACTGGCTCAGGAGCCCCTGTTTGCACTGCCCAGAGCAGGTGTCAGCACCCCTATGGTGCTGCTGTGGGGAGATGAACCTGAGGGAGCACAAATGCCATCAGCCCCAGGGGCCAGGAAGGGCTGGGGGACGGGAGGGAAAACACTCAGGTTTGTCATGGCCTCTGAAGTCACACAGAAAGTTTGTACTCATGAGCTGTGAGTTTCCTGTGCCACTGCAGATGTTGTTGCTCAGAGCCAGGGCTGCCTGGCAGTCACCCCCAGACTGCCTTGAGCATTTCCTTTACTTTACCTTTGCTTTCTTTACTCTTCCTGCTCCAGATTTCTTCCTATTTCCCACCCCTATTCCCTCCCCTGCAAACAGCCCATCCCTGTTTGCCCTTTCCTCTCTGCCCCCACTCCCCATTTCAGTTCCTGAGCTGGCACCATGAGAAGGTCCCTCGGGGAGCAGGATCATCCTACAGGTGCTTCAGGAATTGTCTGCAGGGTTCTGCAGTGCCTCATGCTGCTCCCTTGCCAGAGGCAGCACAGGCCAGGGGGGCACATCTGGGCTACTGTGTCTGGCTGTGGGGCTCCCTGTTCTGGGCAATGACGAGGAGCTGGAAAGGCTTTGCAGGACTGACAGGATGGGTTTTGGGGGCTGTGTGGAGAAGCTGAGGGACCTGGGCTGCTGGAAGTTGCGAAGAGAAGGCCCAGGGCTCATCCTGCACCTGCTCCAAGGGTGGTTTCAGAGAATCACAGAGTTAGCAAAGTTGGAAAAGACCTTGGAGATCATCAAGTCCAACTTGTGCCATGACACCACCTTGTCTTCCCTGAACCTCCTCTTCTCCTGGATTAACAACCCCATCTCCCTCAGCTTCCCCTCACACAATGTGTGCTCCAGACCTGTCACCAGCCTTGTTGCCCTTCTCTGGACACTCTCCAACCCTTCCATGTCTTTCCAAAATTATGGGCCCAGAACTGGACACAGCACTCGAGGTGCAGCTCAACCAGTGCCAAGCATAGGGGAAGAATCCCTGGCCTGGTCCTGATGACCACACTGTTCCTGATCCAGGCCAGGTGCCATTGGCCTCCTTGGCCACCTGGGCACACTGATGGTTCATGCCCAGCCTGCTGTCCATCAGTGCCCCAGCTCCCTTTCTGCCTGCCTGCTGGCCAGCCTCTCTGTCCCCAGCCTGGAGAACTGCAGGGGTTGTTGCGGCCAAAGTGTAGGACCCAGCACTTGGACTTGTTAAACCTCACCTTGTTGGGTCTGGCCCCTGGATCCAGCCTGTCCAAGTCCCTGTGCAGAACCCTCCTATCCTGCAGCACATCAACACTCCCAGCCAACTTGGTGTCACCACGGTTCCATGAGGCCCTAGAGTGTCACAATGGTCTCCAGGATTCCATCAGGCCGCCCAGAGTCACAAAGTCCCTTTGGTTCCCTGGGGCCCTGCAGTATCCCAATGGCCCCATCATGACATGACGTCCTGCTCTGTCACAATGTTCTGCATGCTTCCACAAGGCCCTGCAGTGTCATAGGGGCCTCTTGGTTCCATGAGGCCTCCGAGTGCCACAATGAATCCCTTGGTGGTGCAGTGCCACAGTGGAGCCCAGGTTACACAAGATCCTGCAGTGTCACCCTTGGTTCCATGGGGCACTACAATGTCACAGGTGTTCCCTTAGTTCCAGGAGTCCCTGCAATGGAACAATGGCCCCTTGATCCCACTGGGGCCCAGGGTCTCACCAGGGTCTCCTTGGTTCCACAGTGGCCCCTTGGTTCCACAAGGCCCAGCAGTGTCACAGTGGCCTCTGTGGTTCCACAAGGACCCCGACTGTCACCATGGACTCCTTGTTTCCATGTAGCCCCACGGTGTCCCAATGGCTCTTTGGCTCCTTGGTGCCATGTGGGACACAGTGTCACTGTGGTCCTCTGAGTTCCACCAGGCCCCGCAGTGTCACAGTGGCCCCTTGCTTCCCCAGGGCCCTGCAGGGTCACAATCATCAGAGAATCAACCAGGCTGGAAAAGGCCTTGGAGAGCATCAAGTCCAACCTGTGACCCAACACCACCTTGTCACCCAGACCATGGCACTCAGTGCCACATCCAGACTGTCCTTAAACACTTCCAGGGACGGTCACTCACCCAGCTCCCTGGACAGCTCATTCCAATGCCCAATCATCCTTCCTGTGGAGAATATTTCCTAATGTCCAGCCTAAACGTCCCCTGGTGCAGCTTCAGGCTGTGTCCACTTGTCCTGGGACTGTTCCCTGGGTAAAGAGCCTGACCTCCACCTGGCTGCACCCTCCTGTCAAGTTGTTGCAGAGAGTGATGAGATCTCCCCTGAGCCTCCTCTTCTCCAGGATAAACAACCCCAGCTCCCTCAGCCGCTCCTCACAAAATGTGTGCTCCAGCAGCCTTGTTGCCCTTCTCTGGACATGCTCCAGCCCCTCCATGTCTTTCCAAAATTGGGGGCCCAGTACTGGACACAGCACTCGAGATGAAGCTCAACCAGTGCCAAGCATAGGGGAAGAATCCCTGGCCTGGTCCTGATGACCACACTGTTCCTGATCCAGGCCAGGTGCCATTGGCCTCCTTGGCCACCTGGGCTCACTGATGGCTCATGCTCAGCCTGCTGTCCATCAGTGCCCCAGCTCCCTTTCTGCCTGCCTGCTGGCCAGCCTCTCTGTCCCCAGCCTGGAGTACTGCAGGGGTTGTTGTGGCCAAAGTGCAGGACCCGGCACTTGAACTTGTTTAACCTCACCTTGTTGGGT